TGAAACAGTTTCATTAAGTATTGTATGAAACAATTTCACAACCATATATGAAACAACTTCATCAAAAAAAATATTATATGAAACAATTTCACAAGATTAAACAATTTCATGAAATTTTTTTATAAGATTAAACAATGAAATCGACAGATGAAGGTGGTTTGCACGGTTTACACAAATGAGGGCAGTTTTCATATGATCACTCCTCTCTCTCTCTCTCTCTCTCTCTCTATATATATATATATATATAGAGAGAGAGAGAGAGAGAGAGAGAGAGACTTGGGATCATATGAGATCAATGGTTTTTTGTGAGACCCGTAAGACCAATTCTCAAACATTGGATTAGATTGACAATCTGAAAATCTAAACATTCATAAACGCCACGAGACTTCTCAATAATCACAAAATTACCACCGTGCAACTTTAGACCATTAGATCATTAGCTTATAAAGTTGATCAATGAACATAAATTTTCTCACGAAAAACTCTTGGTCTTACGTGAACCCAACCCTATATATGTTTCAAAAGCACCCTGCCACTAAAAGAAAACGCAGATTCCGAAACTATGATGCTAGCTTGGACAATTAGTATATATCATGCAAAGACGGATAGAATAGAAAATTAGCCTTCTTTTTTCCACTATGCCAAGACATCAAGATGATCAAAATCATCAAAGTGTCGTTTGGTAGCCTAATTATATTATTATAAAGTGTTAGGGGCGCTTATCAAACGCTTATCCGGGTAAGCGCTTACCAAGTCTCATTACTTTATCGAATCAACATTACAAGGACCAATAATCTTACCCAGTAAGAGCGAATGCAAGGACTGAAAGTCTTACCCGGTAAGTGACGACGACGACTCTTACCACGGTTAGCACTTACCGGGTTAATTGTTGCTGTTTTGGTGGACTAATATCTTACCCGGTAAATAATTGATAGTTCTAAATTTTACAGATAAGCAGTTACCCAGATAAGTATTGGTAAACGCCCCTTAGTGTGATATTGTTATCTTTACTCTTTCCACAACTATTACTCGATGCATATTTACCTTCACTTCAAGCATCAAAGTGGGTTCTATCTTGAATTTTGCATAATATGTTTCAAATAAATTCCTAAGCAAACCACAAGAGTGGTGCCTGATTGGTTTGAGCTTAGCTTCAAAGGTCAAAAGTACCAGGAGGTCCAGGTTCAAATCCAAGGAGGAATAAAAATCCCATTGTGGCCATGAGGTTCAAATAAGGTGACTCCGGGCTATCTACAAAGTAAGTGTAGGATTAGTCAGCTCGCATAGATGATTGGATATCCAGGTTAATCATAATAATAATAATAAATAAATAAATTCCTAAGCATAGTATGAAATTTTGAGATTTGGTTTTGTGGAAATGTTTGATCTTCTTCGTTTACACGTAATGCGTCGGCAATATCAATTATTAATACTTCGATGCCGGCAACATTTATGATGGGGTTTAGGGCGGCAACATATAAAATATTGGTGGCAAATCTTTCATTTCAGTAACTTGTCTACCTAGTGTTTACTGTGGGCATGATAACTGCAAAGGTGCGTCCTTCTTGATTCTCTCGTACAAGGGAAAGGGCTTTTGAATGATCTAACACCCACATGAGATATGAACATTCTGACTTGCCCAGAGCCTCCAACAGCACATCCGAGAAAACAAGAAGTTCTCCGCCCTTGCGGGATGAAGTGACGGAAGTTTTAAGAATTCAAGAGAAGGTTAAGGCGAGACGGGTTGTTTATTATTACGATAAGTGTCAATATTAAGCTCCAAGGATAAGAGGATTCTTATTCTTTAAACTTCTTTGTCATTATATATATAGGGTTTGGTTGTGATGAGAAAGATATTTAAGACGAGAAGCGTAAGAAGGGATCTCCACCTTTTGATGTACAGTAGAATGAGATGCACCGGATCAATCCCCGTATCAAGCATGATTCAATGGTGAGTTTGAGATTAAAGGTGATCAAGTGTCCATCTGGCTTCTTACGCTTCTCACCTTAACTCTCATTCTCACACGATACTTCGCCTATATATAGATTCCCCTTCTCTTGAGATTATATCCATTCCTTTTTTATCTGCTTTATTTATAGTCCTTATTGACCATTATCTTTTCCTTTTTCTTTTGGTCCTTCGTTAGGTACTTAGGTCCTTTTCTTTATAAACCGTTTCCTGTTTTGGCTCCAAGATGATCAATAACAAAACTTCTTTCTCTAAAATTATCATGGTATCAGAGCCAAGTTTTAGAACCCTAACCCTAACCCTAGATTAATCCCTCTTTATTGAAAGAATGGCCGGTGACGGCGGCGAGACTGCTCAACCGGTGAATGAAAAATCCATCATGGATATTTCCTCACCGTATTTTCTCATCCCTGTCAATCACCCTCGACAGAACTTCGTAAGCGAAAATCTTCTCGGGGATGGGAATTACAGCGATTGGCAAAGTGAGATGACGAACGCATTGTTCGCTAAATATAAAATTGGCTTCGTCGATAGCACCTTTTTCACGCCGAAGGAAGGTTCCAATGATCTTATGAGTAGGAAACATAGCAACGCAATGGTGCGAGGATGGTTGGTTAGTGCGATGGAAAAGGAGATCAAAAGTAGCGTGAAGTACGCCATCACTGCCCAATACATATGGCTTGCTCTTGAAGAGAGATTCGACAAAGAAAATGCACCTCAGGCGTACGAGTTGCAAAGAACCATCACTACTATACGCCAAGAAAATATGACGATCTCAGCCTACTACACCGAATTGAGAGAGGTTTGGGATGAGATCAATCCATAAGTCCGATCCCAACGTGTACTTGTAACGGGTGCACTTGTGGGTTAGCAAGAGAAATCGCAAAGATGCGAGATAAAGAGCGTTTACGATTTCTTAATGGGATTAAACGAGGAATATGGACCTGTCAAAACACAGATTCCGAGCAGCAATCCTCTTCCCACACTAGGAGCAGCCTACGACCTAGTTAGCCAAGATGAACAACAAAGACTAATTGGAACACAGACGCAACATCATTTCAAACATCCAAGAAAGGTTTTTCTCGACCGACTGGTAAGAACAATTCTCAAATCGTGAACAAGAGATGAACGTGGAAAACCGGACGACCGATGGTGAAGTCATTGCCACAAATCAAGCCACATGATCGATGGGTGTTTTGAACTAGTGGGGTAAGCGGAATGGTGGACGGCAAAAACCACCACTTCCAAAACTCAATCGAACAAGCCTAGGACTTAACCCCGGGCAACTGCTATTAAAGAAGACGATTGTACTCCTAGCTTCAATAAGGAGGAATATGATCGACTATTGCATATGATACGAGGAATGACAGTACATTTACAAACACCAATGGAAAACATGACTGGTAAGATCGATTCACACAAGTCTTGGATAATTGATTTGGGTGCTGGTGAACATATCACACGCTACAAGGAATGGTTGAAAACGACCAACAACCGCGAAGATTTTTCAGCCGTAACGATACCTAACGGGGATTAGAAAAAAAATCAAAAGATCTTCAAAGATGGTGGTTAGAAAAAAATCAGGAGGTCACGGTTCAAATTAGGGTGGTGCCTGATTGGTTTAAGCTTGACTCTAAAGGTTAAATGTACCAGAAGGTCACAGATTCAAATCCAAGAAGGAATAAAAATCCTCTTGTGGCCATGAATGTTCAAATGTGGTGACTCCGGGCTAAAACTGCTCATTTTCTGGCATTGTTTTATAATATGGTCGAAACACAATTTGACAAGAGGATAAAGAGGCTGCAAACTGACAATGGTTCG